CCTCGCGGTAGGAGGGCAAGATGGAGACGGCGGGGGAGGGGATCGCCGCGCCGCGGGGCCTTCGAGCTCCATTTGCTCGGGGCCGCGAAGAGGGGCCCCGAGGGGCCTCGGCGGTGACTCCCGCGGCACGGCCGGGCGGGGCGGGCGGCGGCGCTGCGGCGGGGCCCGGGCTGGGCCGTGGGGCGGGGAGGGCCTGGAGGCGGCGCCGCCGGAGCGGGCAGGGAGCGGCGCGGGGCAGCTGCGGGTGGCAGCCGGGCCGCCGTGAGCCCCGGAGCCGCGGGCAGCCCCTCGTGCGGCCTTCCTGTCTCGCCCCGTCCCAGCCGCGGGGCTGCGTATTGTGCTCGAGCCGCCGGCGTTACCTTCGGCGTTCCCGGCTCTGGTGCTCGCGTCCTGCTTCTCGCTACAGACCCGCCGGCCTGTGGGATTGCGGTTGGTACGGATGTGCGTTTCCTGAAGGTGTGCGAGCGGTGCGCGTCCTGCTCACGTGCATTTCGGGGCTGCCGAGCGCTCGGTTGCTTCCCTGCCGTCCTTGTTTGTTGGTGTGCTCACACGTGTGTATGCTGTGTACCTGTAAATAGGCCGGTGTGTCCTTAATGCTGCGTACGGTAATTCATCAGTAGATGGCTGTGCCTTCAGCTTGTTTGTACTTCTCTCTGGGTGTCACTGAAGAAAGCAGCAGTTATTTGATCCATGTTCTTGTTGTTGATGTTGTTTTGGGTTGCTTTTTTTTCCCCAAAACAGGAGGAGCACTTGGTCGGGACGTTTCTTAATTAGCGGTTTATTCCTATATCAGTATTGAAGTGCCAGAGTTTTTCTTGCTCTATTTTGTTTGTCTGTGTCATTACCCCTCAGTGTTAGGTGCGCCCAGAGCAGCGCTGTGCCTTTGCCCGCTGTGGCGCAGCTCCAGCAGGTGGATGGATGTTGGCTCTGCACGCTGTGTCTGGGGCTGTTGGTGGGTGTCAGAGCCTCCTGTGCTAACCCTGCTGCAGAGAAACCTCATGGAAGCGCAGGTGGGGAGCTCAGCACTGGAAATAGGGGATGTTTGATCCCTCTCTTAAGCTTTAGAATCCTTCTGTGGGAGGCGGCTGGGGAAGGTGAGAACACCCACGGAGATGAATGAAGCACCTCGTGCCTCTCAGCTGTTCTCTGGGGAGAGGAGAGGTGGGCGAGAACACCCGCAGAGATGAATAACCATCTCTAAGCTGAGATCTCCTCTGTTTTTCTTGGGAATAGCTCCTTTAGAGGAGGAGACAGCTTTACAAGCACTAATGATACTTTCTTTATAAACATGCACCTCCACCTGCTCTGTCATTCATATGCATATCTGGCTTGCTTTGAAATTTGGTAATTACAGAACCGCAGAATAATCAGGGCGCCCTTTCACAACCACACTTTCTCAGGCACAGCCTGGCCCCATGGCTGCCTTGTTCCATGCTGCCCTGCCTACAGTTGTCTTCGCCTTTTCCCCACCCTCCAGTCCCTGTGCTGCATCCGGGATTCATCAAACCCTTCAGGGCTTCTAGGTTTGCTGAATTGTCAAAAAGTCATCTTTGTGAGGTCTGGTCAGCTCTGGGAGTAACTGGGGTGGGTCGTGGAGGAGGAAGAGCAGTTGGTGGCAGTGAGGTAACGTGGTGTTGGCTAACCAACTTGGGTCCATCTGTGTTGAGGAAAGCGTGTTCTTGCACTTCCTCTCTCACCCCAGCGCCAGCCAACCGCTGTATTTTCTTGTTGGATCAGTTTTTGCCTGGATGTTGGCTTGTCCTGCTCTTGCACAACAGTTAGTGTTGGTACAAGGAGTGGGGGTGTATAAGAAGAAGAAACAGCAAGATCATCTTGCTCAGAAAAAAAAGGGGGGTTGGGGTAGTTTCTGCTGGTGGTGAAGCCAAACTGTCAGTTGTGTCCATGTGATCATGGTGCAGTTAATTAGATTACTGACATGGCCCTCAATTTCATGAAGCTGTCCTGACTCTTTTAAGCGTCCTCTTTCTCATCATCACTCCACGGTTGTATGATCTTAATTTCAGTAGGAAAAAGCCTAGCTGGTGTTAATATCTGCTGAAACTCTGCCCTTGGGTAGGACAGACTTATTTTGGGGCTGGAGAGCTGAGGGTTCCCTGTTTGCTGGGCTGTGCAGTCACATCATGCTGTGCTGTTGTTGATACAAAGGCGGCCGGCGTTCGAGCTCTCCAGGGGACTGTTTATGAGTGTCTGAGTCTCATTTCCTTCTGTTAGGTATGCTGAATTTTGAGTTTATAGCAAGCAAAAGCAGCCTTCACCTATTGCCATCAAACATCTCGAGTATTCCACCGAGGGAAGTAGTTTTTTGTGTTCAGCATGACTGAAATGGGTTTGGGATGAGCAAAATGCCCCTGCACCTCTACTGAACAACAGCAGTGCCTCTGTGCTGGGAGCTGAGCGTCCTGAGGGGTGGGGAGATGGGGAGAAATGCCTCCAGCTCCCTGCGGGCAGCGCTTCTAATTTGTTGCATTGCTTGGGGAGAACTTTGTTTCTCCATCTTTTTTTTTTTTTTGATAGAGAATAACTGGAGAAAGAAGAGAGAACAGTTCAGGAAGCAATTTCTATTTGCAATCTTGTGTTACTGCAGTCGTACCAGCAAACCACTGCTGTAAGGAGAATGTTTTTTCTTTCGGCTCATTTCAGTTTATTTTATCTATTGTCAGATGATGAGAAAAGCTCTGTTGCACAGTGAACGCTCGGTAAGCGTTTTATAAGCACAATTTGGAGGAACTGGTTGATGACTGTCTTCAGGGGTCGGTTGTGTATTGAATATAGATTCAGGTGTTACAGTGTGTGTTGTGCCACTGACTTCTCTTAATGGGAATTCTCGAGGTACAAGATTTGGAAAATAAGCAGTGAGAGTTAACATCTTCTTCAAATAAGGGTTAGAAAAGGAGCTGGCAGTAAAAGAGACACTTGAAAAATGTTTAATTTCAAGTAGTGGATACTTTTTATTGATGGAAGTATTTCTCTTAGCTGCTGTCCTAGGAAGGAAGAGCAAACCGAATAGCATATCTGCAGTCTTTAAAGGCAGAATGCTCATCTGCTTCTCACACTGCTCTCTGCAACCAAACGGAGCCCTTGGGTGTCCCCAAAGCCTGCAGCCCCTGTGATGCTGAATATGGCACAGAGCCTTCTTTATGTAGGGAGCTTGAACAGAGTTGGTCCTGTGCTTCATTCCAGCTATTCTGACTGGGAGCAGTAGCACAGTACTAGCACAGAAATAATGCTCGTGTTTCTAAGTGCCCTGTCATAGACTTTGTATGTGTTTGCTCTGAGCAGGATTGGGTGGTGGTGAAGGTGTGCTGATACACCTACAGCTCTGTTTATACTGTGGAAGCTATTGCAGGGAAACGAGTGAGTTTTATATACTGTCATTAAAAGCAGAATTCTCCATATTGGCAATAGGTGTTTACCTTTCTTGGTATATTTGAAAAGCTGTAGATAGGCTTCCAGTGTTGTTCAAAGGCCCTGATTCCAGGTGTGTTTCAGCAGCTTTAAGCCAGAAAAGTGCTGTATTTGGGGTCAAGAGAGGCCCTGTTTCTGCCTAACCAAGGGTCATAATATCACAGGAATTACTGAAACTTCCTAAGTTTCTGCTGTGTCTGTACTGTCTTTAATAAGATTTCTATTTCATCTCCCAGCAGAAAAGAGTAAAGAATGTCAAGCTTGACAGTGAAATACAAGATGCTAAGTGGCAGCCTCACTGACAGGTAGAGCTGTGAGCCAAACCAGACCTCGGTGGTGCTGAGCCAGGTCAGCTCTGTGGCACTCAGAATGGTGGTAAGGCAGCAGTGTGCTGGCAGGTGGGGTGATGGCCACAGTCAGAACCCCCAGCAACAAAACCTGCAGGTCCCAGATAGATGGCTCTGTTCCTGTCCTCGTTCCTGGCAGCAGTGCAGCTTCTGTGCTATGGTTGTATGGGGAGCTCTTGTGCTGCCTCTTCCCAGAGCTAGTTTATCCAGTTGTCTCCTCCTTTCCCCAGCATTGGAATGAAAATTGATTACCAGATAGAGAAGGATCCAAACAGAAAACTCGGTGCAGCTTCCAGTAGAAACCCTCTCAAAGTGCCTCTGAATGAGTTTAGTGCAATGCCTGATGTCAACTATTATGTGGAGACATTCAGCAGGATTTAAAACTGATTTAAACCAACCTGCACATTTCTATTTACATACTTCAGTACAGGTTCTAAACAAGTACGTTCTGTTTCACTGGGAACTTTTCAGGCTGGTTGTGCTGAAGAATGCTTGGGCACAAAGTTGTGTGCATTTGCTCATACGATATAGCTGGAGTGGGATTTTTAAGCTGGCATTGCTTTGGATTTTATACCATTCTTTCCTCAGTTATATCCCCCCACCAAAAAGCTTGCTTCTGCTCTTCAGATGACTCATGCTGTGTGCCTGCTTCATTCTTTCATTCCCTACTGCAATGTGAGTACAGAAAAATGAGGCTGGGAATGTCAGAGTAACGAAGGTAGACTAGAAAGCTCTTTTCTAGAGAGAACTTTTCATAAATATGTCTCAGATAAAAGAAAATACAGAATACGAGCATTTTCATGACTTAAATAATAGCAGTAACAAAGACCATGACCAGATGCAAGGAGAGCTGGCATCGGGCTATTTTCCACTTGAAGGCAGTGTTTGCAGAGCGCTGTTGCCCTGGACACTGGGTGCTGACCCTGCCTGTTCTGTGCTAGAGGCAGGCTTGCTAATTATTCTAATATTATTTTTACTGGCTAGTCAACATCTGCAGTAACAGTAGTTGCATGTTTGCGCCACCATTTCCCCACTCCACATTCAGAACTGTAGCACGTGGATAATCTCTGCTAGAACCATCTATTATTTGCACTGTACTGCTATCACGGTTTCACTATTTGACATAAAACCATATTCATGTATTTGCACAAGAGTAATGCATACACTGTAACATGCATTTTGGAGCCAAGGTAAATGGGAGTTTGAGCAGGGAGTGTAACCATTGTGATCAGAAGGAAAGGGCACGCATGGGGATTTTCTCCTGGGTAAACAGGCTGCTGCTGGGATTGTTTCTCTGGCAGGGAGGAAACCTTTGCAACTGTGGGATAAATTCAGTGATCGATGGTAGAATTTAGAGTTGTTTGCTTTAGGAGATGCTCCTTATCTACAGGAGCCAAAATACCATCAATGTTCCAGACCTTAGCTGTTAGAGAATATACCACAGCAAGAAACATTTGTCCTTCTAGTTGTGACTGTAGGGCACAGAATTGCTCTGAAGAGCTCGATAGTGATGGGTTAATCTTGTCTTCAGCGTGGTTAAACGGTTACACAGGCTGAATGGGTGCAAATGTCATCCTGTTCCTCTTTGAGCACCTGGTTGGCTGCTGCTGTCCTTACCTGCTGGATGTCTGTCTGGAGCTGGGGCAGCGTGCAGAGCTGCACAGGAGTCACCTTTGTAGAGTCCTGAGGTTTCTGCTTTGTAACAGATTCCTTGTGTAGCTCTGCATTCCCAGCTGTGGCATTGCTGTTTTTGCAGAGAATCTCACCTACTTCAGTGTTTCTTACGTAATTGTAGAAAGAAACAACAACAGGCAGAGGGTGGTGAGGCACTGGAACAGGTTGCCCAAGGAGGCTGTGGATGCCCCATCCCTGCAGGCATTCAAGGCCAGGCTGGATGTGGCTCTGGGCAGCCTGGGCTGCTGGTTGGTGACCTGCACACAGCAGGGGTTGGAACCAGATGAGCATTGTGGTCCTTTGCAACCCAGGCCATTCTGTGATTCTATGAACAAAACTGATTAGTTCTTTATTAATTATAAAGCAACACAATCTCCGTGAGTCTGTATCTGTTGAACAGGAGAACCACGTGGTGTTTTTCCTTGCTCACAGATGCTGGCTTATCTTGCAACTGGAGCAGCTAGGAGGTGGATGAGATTTGGTTAAAAGGGTTTTGAAATAGCAGTAGGTGTGAGTATATTTTGTATCTTGTGGCTGAAATGCTCTTGTTCAGTTCTTTAATGCACTTCTTCCCTAATTGTGTGCTTCTGAATAGCATGTCCTTCAAATAGTTGCTTTTAACTACACGTAAGGGTTACCATGCAAACCTTCAAGTGAAAACTTACCAAAACTTTTCATTAAAAAAATAATTTACTGGCATCGGTGCTGTTTCATAAAAATGGAAATTGCTTGCACTTGTTGTAGAAAACAGCGGTAAATCTTGAAAGATTTTCTTGTGGAACAGTGCAGTATTGTTTGTTATTGATATAGATTTGTCTCTCTTGTTTTTGATAGAAAATGATGCACCCTGTTGCCAGCAGTAATGCAGCATTCTGTGGGACGGGCAAGAGCTCTTGCCTTAACGAAGACAGCGTGAGAGCTGCTGACCAGTTTGACTTGTATGCCACGCAGCAAAGTAAATACAGCCACGCAGTGAGCCACAAACCCATCGCGTGCCAGCGACAAGACGCGCTCAATGAGTCCCACCTGCAGACCACGAGCAGCAGGAATATAGAAACAAAAGATGAACTAAAGAAAAAGAAAAACCTCAACCGATCCGGTAAACGTGGGAGGCCATCAGGGACCACAAAATCAGCAGGGTACCGAACCAGCACGGGTCGACCCCTGGGGACCACCAAAGCAGCTGGATTTAAGACAAGTCCAGGCAGACCCTTGGGCACAACTAAAGCAGCAGGATACAAAGTCAGCCCAGGCAGACCTCCAGGTAGCATTAAAGCTCAATCCCGGTTTGCAAATCTAGGTTATACTTGTGGCAGTGCAGCTTTTCCTTATCCTATGGTGCATAACAGAGGAGTACATGCTGCTGGTGAAACTAGCAGCAAACTCAAGCAGCCTAACGAATGAAAGGAAGGAATTAGTAACTGCTTACTAATCTGCTTTACTCTGGATTTTTGGCATGTTTCTTGCATTTTATTGTAGCATTTGCATACGTTTGAGTTTCTAGATTTTATTTTTACTCAAATAATGCCATAGTCTACGGGTGCAGTTCAGTAACTTTTAAAGCAGTGTCAAGAGGGCACTGGTATAAAGTCTTTTTTGTTGTTGTTGTTAAGTCACAATTTAAAAGAAAGTCTGAACTGAAGCATAGGCCATGGTGTCTACACCTATCCTATATCACCTATATCCATGTTCCTAGTTTTACGTTCAGTTTTGGGTAAATCTAGTTTTGTGGTTATGCATTAAGTAATTGAAAGAAGGAGGACAGAATTAGCTGGCTGCTGGCTCACGATGGGGCCTATCTCACCATAGGGAACTGGTGCAGATGAGTTCATACTTGATAAAGAAAAAGAAACTATTTGGGACTGTTTAACTTAGATAAACAGCAGCAGTCTGAATTCCTGTGCTTTTTTAAAAGGAATAGAAAGCAAGCTACGTTCTTCACTTCTGCAGGAGCTTCTACAGACCTCAGGCAGATCCATAGAAACTTAACAACCAGACCAAAAAAAAAACCAAAACAAAACAAAACAAAAACCCCCCAACCTTCTTTTTTCCAGTGTTTTCTGGAGTTGTAGCATTAAGTCAATTTCGATTAATGTTCCAAAAATGTTTATGAAAAGACAGCAGGAAGCTGAGCGTTGGTGCAGCGCTCTGCAGCGTCACGGCGCTTTATTCAGCTGAGCTCCTTTGCCTTCAGGTGACAGCTGCTCTGCTTGTTACGCCGGCACAGGATTCTGCTATGTAATTTAGAAATGCCTAAATATATTTACCAAACCACAGATAGTTCTTTACGTTTTGAAATATTTTATAAGAAATTAAGTACTGTTCGTTCTAGTAACGTACTTGGTTAATCCTAAACAGTACGTCCTTTATCTGTAAATAGCTATTTACACTGGTTTTTGCCTTTAAAAATCTGTGCTTAGGTGGCGACAGTTTAATAGCTTTTCAAGTATTAATCTATAATGTTTACAAATTAAACTTTTTAAAGAGGCACCGCTGCCAAGTTTTTGGGCTTCGTTTTGCCAGATATTCCTGGAAATACAGTTACTGCATTGTTGGACACTTAGGCTATATTTAAGTTATGGAACGTTCTATATCTACCAAAGGACACCATTTTCATGATTTATAAAAGCAAACTGTATAGCTGATGCAAACAGGATGCAGTTTACTGCACTGCTAGACCCCAGAGATGAAGTAATTCATAGGAATTCATCTATGCATGCAAGCTGAAAAAAAATGTTGTTGGTTGACTATAAATACCTTTCTTGACTCAAACTTAAGCCTTCCCTCTTTGCAAAAGAAATGTTCCATTTTTCAGCTGGGTGTGTTTAATTTAAGTGTGGGAGAGCGCATGTATGTGTGTAATGTACACATACTTTAATCTAGTCTTCAAAAAAAGAAAATCAATCCTCAATGTTGCATATTGTTTGTTCTAAATTTACTTTTACTGGAATCCGAGCTTTTTTTTTTCCACCTGGAAGAAAGTTTCTATTTAAGCAGTTTGAAGCAAAATGTGACTGGATGATAAATTTGTAGGCTCGTGCATCCGGGGAGGGGGTGGATATATAAAGCTTGGCGATCTGGGGAGTGAAAGAAATCGGGTTAATTAGTGCTTATGCTGGACTGATAACTTTTGTTAACATAAATGCTATTCTGGCCTGCTGACATTTTGATGAGAGCTCTTGATTTCAGTGATGACAACCTAAGAAACAGATGTCATGTTTCATACCTTTTTTATCAGGAAAAAAGCAGCAAGCCTTCAGGTGTTCCAGTGATGCCTAACACATAATGAGCTGGACTTTATGCTGTACTTTACATAGGTGTGTTGAATTGTTTTTGGGGAACTGTGTATGCACTGGCAACTAAGACAATGAACCTCAACTGTACTGGATGGCTCCTTAGTCGATGTATGAATTAACGGCAGCTAAACTGCTACTAAAATAGTTTCTTCATGCTGAAGCTATGAAATCCAGTGATACTTTCTGTTCCTCAGCAAACTCACAAGTCTGAAATTTAGCGGTTTCTCAGAACGATGTAACTTCTGACACATGCAAAATGCTAACGTGAGTTAATTCACCCTCAGGATCTGTGTTGTATTGGCTGTTTTTAATCAGATGGTTTTTCAACAAAAGACTGCTTTAAGTTCTTACCTGAACTCAGCTGGGAAAGCAGTCCTCTTCAGCTGAATGTAGTACCTGCAGGAGCGTCACACCTCGCTGGCAAGGAACGTGTTGCATGTCACCACTGTCCCTTGGAGAAACTCCACTTACCTCCTCTGTTTATCTGGTTTGCTCCTGTTCCACTTCTCACTCGTGCATCTACTCGATGGTGCTGTGCTGTGTGTCAGGAGATGATGCAGCTGTATCACTGTTCTGCTAGTATAATGAATTTTTAATTGAGTATGCTGATGAAATAATGAAATCATCTAAGCAATTTCTGTTCATTACACTGTTTATTAATTATATCAAATGAAATGTAATCCCAGAGGGAAAAAAAACCAAACAAACAACAGTTAATGTTGTCAATTGTGAAACGAGGAGCATAAAGTAGGAAAGTGTTTGCAGAGTCTGTACAGGGCTGCGTGGCACCTGGGATGTGGCAAGGAGACCAGCAGAGTCCTGCTGGGCATTTCTTCATTCTGCTTCATTTCGATCTGACTGCAGTCTACTGGTGCCATGCTGTGAGAGGAAGAGAAAGGAAGGAAGACATTGGAAGTGAAAGAGGAATGGAATTTTCAAATACTTCTGCTTTGCCTACGTGTAGTCTGCAGAATACATTGTGCTTTAATAAAACCCCAAACAACACTTTTCTTTCCACGCAAACACTGAAGCAGCATGTTAATGCCCAAACTTTACCAGTACCAGTGGGAAAACTGGACTTTCCCCCCCGTAGTATGAAAACATAACTTGTAAGGTAAATTGCTTATTTTATATTCTATATCATAATTCAGCTATTCATAAGCTAGGATCACTGTTGTGTGTTAACACTGTTCAGAAGATCTACAAGTTTGCTTTCTAATGATTTCTTTTAATTATCAAGTTTCTAACGTCTTATTTATACATGAATGAAATGTACTCACTTGCTATTACTCCTTGATGATGCTATACAAGTTCACTGTTTAATACACATAGAGTAACGACTATTCAGCTTCTGATTAAATTTACTTAAACTTTAAAACCAAATAGTTTTGCTACTATAAAGTCTTGCACTGGACATTTCAAGATGATAGCACCATATTTTGGCAGGAAAAAAACAAAACAGATACCATCCATCAGCAGAGGCTAACAGTGAAATTGAGTTCAGTACTTTTAAAATCAGCTGTTAGCCTTGTTGTTAAAGCAGCACTCTTTATATCTTGGATTTAGTTCAATCAAAATAACTACGTATCAAGAGCCATTTAAGATCTCTGTTTTGAAGGAATAGATTTTCACTTCGTCTGAAAGAGCTGAGAGTTTGGTTGGGACAAAACCAAGCCTTGTCAGTGAAAAGTAATGTGTCTATGAAAAGAATTACTTGGAACTACAGTACACAGAGTAATTCAGATGTGAATTGAACTCCCTTCCCCCTTTTTGAAGAGCTTTAAAAGGCAGAGTGAAATGAAGTCATTTGTCTGCTGGCTTCGTTAACCGAGACTCTGCTATTCTTTGTTGTATGTATAATAACATTTCATGCTATCCCTAGAGTTGACAGTTAAAGCAATTGATAACAATCATAAATACTTTGACCTGCAGACCTAATTTCTGACCACAAAAGAAGTTTATTCTTCTCTATTTTAATGCATATATTTTAACACTGCTTAAATATATTTATGACTTTAGTAGAGACTAGACTTTTCTCTTTTAAGTTTTTTTTTCAGATAGATAAATCTGTATTCTGAAGTTTGGAACCACTTTCTGATACTTTAACCTTTCATCGTTTGCTTTTCCACAGGTTTACTTTGGGGAAACAGTAATCTGTTAAATATCTAGTATCAGCACCCTGTCCTCTGCTGTAAAAAGCCTGATTAGATACTGTGTATGTTTTTATGTCCATGAACTTGAGCTACTCGTGTGCAATTATGTGTATGGGAATGGAGTAGTGTTCATGATCTGTATTTACATCATCATATGGATGTATATTTATTAATAAAGTTAATACTTTACAACCTAACAGTTATTTCCTACATGCATTTTGTTTTCATATATGTATTTTAAATTCTGGCTTAAGATTCCTATTGCCAACATATCAGACCAATAACTTTAACCTGTCTCTGCTGTAAACAGGAGTTTTCTTCTCCCAGTGTCTCTGTTGCAGGTAAGTGTAGAACATTGTGGTGCAGCTTGTACAGATGTTGCTTAAAATCAGGTGATCGGTTTTGCTCTTTGTCTGCCTGAAGTGCAGGTGAGTCCAACTACAGCAGACTGTGTTTGTGCTCGTGTGGACTGAAAAACGCATCAAGAATTTGTGAGAGTTGGAGGACATTCATAAATTACACAGTTCAGGCTTTTTAGCAGCCTTGGAGGTTGCTTTACTGCTCACGTTTATCACAGGTTACAGCTTCTTCATATGGACAGACTAGCAGTGTGTGTTTGCCAGCTGTGCAAGTTGGACCTTAAAAAAGCTTTACAGTGGTTTTATCTTCCTGATAATGCTGTTTGTGTGTCTGATTTGACACGGGGGTGTGCTTTGGAGCTGGACTGGCATCCTAATGCTCTTGTGAAGTACCTGTCTCAGAGGGATGTCTTCCAATAGGACAAACAATGTAGTGTAAATTAGCAACATCGTACCTATTCAGAAAGATGGCTCAACAAAGTGTCTTTTTGGACCAAGAGAAATGAAAATTGATCTTAACAGTTAATCACGTAAAGCTGTAATTCCTAAAGATAAGGGGCTGCTTTGCTGACTTGCTGTGTGCTGTTCTTACCAGGCTTCTGCCTGTGGCTCTGTGTATGGCTTATCATGTAAGGGAGAGGTGTGGCCTGACATACAGGATTGACAGCCCAAAACTACAGTGCTCTGCAGCTGGCTTGCACCCAGGTTCCCCGCATGGCCTAGGGATGGCAATGTCTCACTTCCTCCCATCAGTGAAAGCATGGCAAAAAATATCTGCTTATCATCCAGGGTTCCTGGAAGGAGTCATTAGCAAACAACTTTTAACTGCTTTGAAGCTGCAGTGTGTTGTGGAATTGTCAGGTGGTATTTAAATGATCTGAGGCAGATCCTGCCTTTCACGCTGTGTTTTTCGTACCAGAAAACCTTGTTTCCAATTAGTGAAAAAATATCACAGCGGCAATTGGTGTGAGTTTGATTATTTAGAGTAGGCCTCAGAGATACGCATAATACTAAAAGTGTTTTTCTGCTGCTTTGTGTGGTCATCTTTGTAAATGTTCAGCTCTGCCCATCTTGAGAGAACAGAAGGCAAAGTCACACCTCCCGAATGTAGTGTAAGGTAGAGCTGCCTGTGTGACCTCAGTCTCTGTTCTGACTTGAATGCTTCTTTTGTTTTCTTCTGTGCTGTTGAACACACAGAAAATCAGCTGTGAGGATTAGGAGTGAATGGAAACGCGAAGACCTTGGCGTTGTCTCTGTTCCATTCTGTTGTATTTCACTCCTTACATTGCCAGGGAAGGAGCTTGCTTGCTGTGACTGAAAGCTGTGACTGTGAAATCCAGCTGCCTTAATACACGGTGCACAAATGGCTGACTAATGTTTCAGTGTTCATCCGTGGCTGCGACACGAGACTCGTATCACACAAGTCCTCTTTCCAACAAACAGCTTTTCTATTGTACGACTGATTCTTGAACAGATGGTCAGCAGTGTGTGGGGCCAGGAGTTGGACTCCGTATTCCTTATGGGTCTGTTTCGACTCAGGAGATTCTCTGTCTCTGTTGGTATTGTTTTGTTTATTTTTTTCCTAGACATTTTTCCTAAAAGCAAATATTTGGCATCTAACGTCAGAAAAATGTGAGCCGCTGAACAGCTGTGGAGGAAACAGAACGGATTTGAGGTGAAGAATGCCAGCTACAGCTGGGATGGAGGGTGTTTCCCTACGGCCTCTTGGACTCCCTGCGTGTGTTTTGTGCTCGATTTCTTCTGTCAACTGGACCGCTTTGTTCTCTGCACAAACTTAACTCGTGTTTTGTATCTTCAGGTCACTGCAGCTTCAATATTTATTCTCATACAATTTATACTCGGCAGTGACTGGGTTCGGCGGTAATTTTTCACGGAGTAATTCCTCGGTGCCCTGCAGCGCTATCGGAGTTCCAGCAGCCTGCCCGTCCCTTCATCCGGCCTCAGCCCAGAGCCGTCCTCTGCCACTGCCGAGAACGCGAAACCCCCCCCGCCAATATGGCGGCACGCCGCGCTCCGCTCCCAACGTATGCACGCATGATACCGGAAGCGGAAGCGCCTAGGCAGTTCCGGCGGAAGTGGCCGTCGTCCGGGGAGACGCAGCGCTGTGGTGGAAATGTGGCGGCTAGTGGTGCTGCTGCTGGCCGGGCTCGGCCGGGCCCTGCCGGAGGATGAGGGTGAGGCCGGGGCCGGGGCCGGGTTGGGGCCAGGCCGAACCGGGAGGTGGGTGCGGAGCTTTCGCCGGGACCGGGACTGGGACTGGGACTGATCTCTCCTTGCTGGTGCAGGGGTGGTGACGGAGCCGGGCGCCGGCGGTTCCGGGCCGATCAGCGGCGAAGCTGTGCGGTACCGGACGGCGGAGATGGCTGACGCGATGCTGGGCAGCGGACCGCCGGGCCGGCCGCCCGTGATGCTCTCGGCGGTGCCGGGAGAAGCGAGAGAAGGGCGGGAAGCGGAGGTTTGCGAGGCGGCGGCCGGTGGAGGGGAGTGCGGCGCTGGGAGCGGGCCCGGGGCTCCTCCCGCCCCGCCCGGAGCGGCCGTCGTGCTGGAGACTGTGCTGCCCGCGGGCGAGGAGCCCAACGGCACTGCCGAGAGCGTGAAGGCCCCCAAGGTGAGCTGCGAGGAGAGAAACGTTACCGGTATCAGCAACTTCACGGTGCAGATCCTGAACGTGTCCCAGGTGAGCGACTCGCGGCATCGTGCAGCTCTGCGTATCGGGGGTGGGAAGAGTTGGTTTGTGTCTTTTAGTGCTTGACCTGGCCGGTTTCTTTGTGTAATGGGGAAAGCTTGAGCAAGGGTTGCATCGTTATGAGCTGAAACAAATGGAACAACAGCTCAGTCCACAAGTATGTGTGTCTCGTGTGTGCGCTTATGGTGAACTGTCAGCCTTAATGCTGTATAGATTCATATCTCTAGGGTTGTTTGTGGCAGTTACAGCCAATGCCAGTTACTGTATCTAGTGTGGATCTTATAATAGAGATGGTGTTTTTTCCGGAGGGGGGTTGTGTTGTATTTTTCTTCTTTTTAGTTAATTAAATGTTTGCTTGCATCTGTTATGCTCTCTCTAAGGATCTGATGGAGTTCTTAAACCCTAACAGCAGTGACTGTACATTGGTCCTGTTCTATACGCCATGGTGCCGCTTCTCTGTAAGCCTGGCACCTCATTTCAATTCCTTACCTCGAGCGTTTCCCATTCTTCGCTTCCTGGCACTGGATGCATCACAGCACAGCAGGTAATCCACACTTCCTGTGCTCTGGTCTCAGTTTATTTACAATAGCAAGGTCTGTGTTTTAAAAACAGCAGTGTTTTTTTAACAGTTTACTGTAAGCAGTTGTGTCTGTTTTCTTTTTAACTATAATGTTTTCGCATTTTCTTCCTCTTGACAACTTTACAGGAAGGAAATGCTACTCTGTTGGTAGCTTACCTGCAAATTGTGTTCTGTTAGCTGGCTTTTGGGTATCACAATCCTGAGGAGTGCTAAATATTCACTCACCTTATGCATATCCTTGGATAACAAAACGTGGATCCATACAGCACTTGTGTGCATGGAGAAGAAACACTGCTGAATGTCATATAATTAATGTAATTGATAAAGCAGTAAGCATCCCTAATGCCACAAAAAGTGGCTGCTTATTATTTTCTTATAAAGCGACTCATTTAGGGAAGCTGACACTTGCTGTGTTGTGGCTGCCTTTGTTCCTTTCTTCAGTGGATTTTTTTCCCTTCATGGCTTGTATGTGCTTTATGTTCTCCAGCTTATCAACTCGGTTTGGAACTGTAGCTGTCCCCAATATCCTCCTTTTCCAAGGTGCTAAACCTATGGCTAGATTTAATCATACAGACAGAACGCTGGAAACACTGAAAGACTTCATTTTTAATCAAACAGGTATGTAAAGCAGCACTGAAGTATCAATGGGAAGAACAAGTTGGCTTTTAGCTCCATACGCAGCTTTCCTTTTATTGTTGTTATTTATTCCTCTTATACTTTTATTTAACATGAATCTGATTAAAAGCCTGAGAGAATCCAGCAGAGATTTGCTGTAGGAACTGAATTTGGAGGGGTACTGAAACCAGAAACTGACTGGGCTGCTTTTGCAGTGTAGAAGGAAATGGTGGGGTATAAGGTAGAAGGATTGGGCACACCTTCATGCCCAAATCTTCCATTTGGGAGTGGGGGAACCTTGAGAAAGTTGCCAGTGCCATGCAAGGCTGAGAGCAGTTGGAGAATAAAACAAAAAAAAACCCATGCATGGGTATAGGAGAGCCTTCGTAAGAGGCCAGAAATGCTGTATTTCCAAATGCAGCAGAGATGCTTGAAACACAGCCCCACAAGCTTACAGAAAATTGTGTGGAATGACAGAACAATGCCTTTCCTGTTCATAAGCTGTGCATACACCTTGGTAGCTGTTCAGTTTTCCATAAGCAAACTGTATACTGGACGTATTAAAATCTAAGGACCAGCTCAACAAACGCTTAGGCCTGACTGTATGCGTGCCTTAGTTTGAGACGGGAACAGAGCTGCAAAGACAAAGAACTTCTCTGTATTTAACGGCTGCTACTGGTGTTGATGAAGGATGTTCTTTTCCAGGCATAGAGGCTAAAAATGATGTGACTGTGACAGAGGAAGACTGGAAGGGGCCTCTGCCCAGCGTTCTGACAAAAGGAGTAGACTGGCTGCTCGTGTTTTCCGTGCTCTTCCTGGCCAGCTTTATCATGTATGCTACCGTTCGGACTGAGAGCATTCGGTGGCTGATCCCAGGGCAAGAGCATGAACACCAGGAGTGATTGGAGGTGCTGAAGCAGGGACACAGTTTGCAGTGTGTGAAGCGGGTTTCGTGTGGAGTGGAAGTACTTAAGAATGAACCGTTGAATTTGTTGGTTGTCATTTATAGTGTTGATGGAAAACCAGCTTTGTTTACTAACTACTGAGTTTTTATAAAGCGAACTGAGGCAAAAAAAAGTGGTGAGTAAACTACTGTGGAGAAACACGAACTGAATAAGTATTTATTAAAGTGCTCTGACCTGTTTGCTTTTCGTGGACCTTAATGTAAATGTGTGATACCATTCTGCTTCACTTTTATGAAGAGATCTCTGAGCTCTGTAGATCTGCTGCAGCACATTGGCCTGCATATGTGGCAGCACTTGGCTGGAGTGCAGGGTTGCTTCTGTACAGCTGAAATCTGGGAATCTTCTTTTACAAACCTAGAAATGTATGAGGTGGTGCTTCTACACAGATTGTGGTCAACACATTGGAATTAGAATGTGGTTTTGGTTCGTGGATTCCGGAAATGAAGAAGTCTTCCAGGGATGTGCAGGTGAATGGTGGTGTCACTAAACCAGATTGTCAGTGAAATGAACTGTGAAGAAGAGAGATATGTTTTAAAATCCAGTTCACTTCATTTGAGTTATCCTAATATCTGAAAAGGTTTTCCCATTAACTGCCTGGGTTGGTTTATACTTCAGGGGAGAGTCATGCCAGCAATTATAAAAATGCAGGTATTTGTTGTGCAGCTCCCTACAGGGTGACTGTTTTCCACCTTATCTGCTGAGGTTAGGTACGGGTTGTCTTGCTCCATGTTCTATGAGCCTTGGCTTGCTGGAGATGCAGCGCAGATCAGTTTAGAGTGCTTTGCAAGGAGTACATATCCCTGAGAGGTGATCTCTGGGGTACCTTTTGGTGCTCATACCTCTCCTGTTGGGGAAGGGCAGGTCCTGTGTTAAGGCTGCAAGGATGAAACTGCTGCTACTGAAGGTCGAGGAAGTACGTAGTTAATAAGGTCTGGAGCAGCAAGGTGGAGAGCTCTTCTCGTCGTTAAGAGAGGCAGACGGCTGCGCTCTCCCTGCTCATCACCTCCTTGCCTATCAACAGAGATGTCTTTATCTGATGGCTGCCGATCTATCTGAGGGCTGGGGTCAGGAGGAGGGAGCCGGGCCCGGCGACACGGCCAGGCACAGCGCACCGAGTGGAGCACAGGGCGTTCTGTAGGAACAGAAATAATTCGTTTACAGTGAGGGTTGCCGAGCTTGGCACCCAGACGGCGTGCTCTCACCCGGTCCTACCCAAACCGAAAGCCTGACCCGCAATCCCCCCCACCCCAGGGCTCCCTCTGTGCCCGCACGGCCGCCCCCGGTCCCTCCCCCTCTCCTCCCGAGGCGGGGCCGGATCGGGGCCATGCCGGGCGGCGGGGCCGCGCTGCGCCGGGCGCTGCTGGGAGCGGGGCGTCGCGGAGCGGGCGGCGGGAGCCGGGCTGCCATGGTGAGCCGGGAAGGGAAGCAGGGGCTGCGCTGCGCTGCGGGACAGGAGGCGGGGGATGGGGCTGGGGATGGGGCGGGGGGCGCGGCCGCCTCGCGTGTGCGGGATCTCATTGGTAACGGAGGAATCGCGTTGCGTGATGTTGACGCCCCCGCCCCATAAACGTTAGCTGCGGCGCGCTGGTTTGTTCTGCTGCTCCTCGCGTTTAGCTCTTCTGCCTGCTATTGATTGACCCGCGTTGTTCTGCGGCGTCAGCCGTGCAGCCCGATGGGTTCCGTGCTTCTATAACAGCTCTCTGGCAATTGCTTTTAACAGTGGCGATATCTGCATGTTTCTGGAGAGAAATGGGCGCCTCCATCGCCGCTCCCGCAGCGCTGCGGAAGTCGCGTTGTTCGCTCCGGGGGGAGAGAAGGAAGGAAGGAAGGGGGGGGGAGCGCGCTCCGCTCTGCGCTGCTCGGGCGGACAGCGCCCCCCGGCGGCAGCGGCGGGGCGGCCGGGGGCGGGGGGCGGGCGGACGGGGGCTGCCGTGCTGCCGTGCTGCCCCGCGCTTCTCAGCAAGTTGGACGAGTCTGTAAGGACTGAAGCAGCCTGAAAGGGACAGAGCTTTCCATCTAAGCGTTGAGTTCATAATGTGAGTTTCAGATCAGTCTGTTCAGATGCAGGGTCAAATTCATCACCTGCTTGGTTATGTCTTTCTCAAGCAACCCGTAGGTGATTTTGTCTGTCCTGGATCTTTCCTAGGAGTAACAGGATGCACGCTGTGTACAATGCTATTTGCTTCCCTTGTGTATGCCTTTCACAATGCAGCTATTCTCCCCCTCTGCCCTTCAGCCTGTAATTGGACTTTGAGTGTTCTGTGAATAATCTGTTACCTACATAGCAGAGCAGAATAGCTGGAAATTCATTCAAGTGTTACAGATCTGGATAGCTCAGGTGGAGGTGTGAGTGGAGGTGTGCTTCTGTCTGTGCCCATCCCATGGACCAGCCCATCGCTGCACAGAGGCATCTGTCCCAGCTTAGCTGCGCCGACAGAAGCAGCACTCCTTGACAGGAGTCAAGCTGGTTATAGGAATTATAAAAAGGAATGCACCGTACAGTGAATTTTCCACCTCTTGTGTCTGAAGCATTTTCCTCTCTGCTATATGTACTTTACACAGAGAGTGGTGAGGTGTGGAACAGCTGCCCAGAGAGGCTGTGATGCCCCGTGCATCCCTGGAGGTGTTCAAGGCCAGGTTGGATGGGGCCCTGGGCAGCCTGGGCTGCTATGAAATGTGGAGGTTGGTGGCCCTGCATGTAGCAGTGGGTTGGAGATTCGTGATCTTTGAGGTCCCTTCCAACCCAGACCATTCTGTGGTTCTGTGAATATGTACCCATGGTTTCATGGCGTGGTTCTCTTGTTGTGCACAAGCAGCTGGGCCTTGCTGGGGTTGACACGCTCTGCTTTTGCCTCAGCAGTCTTCCCAGTCCCACTGGCTGACAGCAGAGGAGAGGAACCAAGTTCTGCTGGATCTCAAAGCTTCAGGCTGGTCTGAGTCAGGCGAAAGAGATGCCATCTACAAAGAGTTCAACTTCAAAAATTTCAATCAGGTAATTATTGCTATATCCCGTTTTTAATGTAGAGGAAATGTAATTGCTTTCATTGCCATGCAGTCCTGATGGGAAAACATTTGTAGGTGGAACTTTGGGAGTACCTTTGTAGGGCCAAACCCTGTCAGATTTGCCTCAGTGAATTGTTCTCTGACTCCAGTCTCATTAGGTGGGGTAAATTAAATCCGTTTTGTAGTTGTTAAGTAGATTTATTCTAATATTATAATTTCTTGATGATAATAATGGGGCCAAGATCAGTGTCGGTATTATGGGATTAGACAAATAATACTGGATCCTGATTTGTTTTTTTTTTTTCTTTGTTACTAATGCTCCTAAATTGGTGCTAGAAAAATGTAACTGTTGGAGAGTGGGGTTCAACTGAGGGAGGGGGAAGGAAAGAAATGGGTCAATGTAAGAGCACAAACTTTTGGGAGATGAGGTGGGGAGAGCAGGCCGTGTTTCACCTTCCCAGCTGGAAGCCAATTGCCAATTCAGTGAATCCTCATGGCTGCCCTTGCAGATCCCAGCTGCTTTTTCTTCTGGGCAAAGTCAGAGAGTTACAGTGTGTTAATGTTTAATTTGTAGGGATGAGATGGTTTCCTTCCAGAAAACAGCAAAGCATGTGGAGGGGATGGAGGATGCCAAGCCCTGGCTGCTGCTCTCCTTGGCTGCTCTTCCGTCCTGAGAATTAACGTGGGACAGGCAGAGCTGTGGCAGGCAGCACAGGGAGGGTCCATGGGAGAGGCTGACATGAACGTCTGGGGCCACGAGGTCCCCTGCAGGTCCTGCAAGGTGGGTGAAATATCCCACGTGAGTGCAGAGGATGTCCGTGTTACCGGTGAGGCACGGTGTGCCCTGCTGTTGCAGGGGAAGCATTGGCTGTAATGCAACAAAACAACCTGGTGCACCTCTGCTTCTTGGTGCTTGTATTTCTGATAGCTACACATAAATGCTGTGTTTGTTATGATTTAGGGAACAAAGGACAAAACTGAAGCTATGGACCCGCCTTGTGCTTGGGAGAGTCATCCAGCAGTGAAAACAAAGAACTTTTAGGTACAAAATCTTCTATTTCAGTTAACACTGTTTGCAGTACTGACAGTGTAGAAGTCAGGGCACTGAGAAGTGCCATTTCCACAGCAAACTCACCTTTGCTCTTCTGCAGATGGCACAGAGTCAGGTGTGTTTGTAGGCAGCGGAGCTGACATGAACGGTACTCCAGATTTACGTTTTGCAGATGATATTGGTATGATTAATGGATTCGTTGCCTCTTTTACTGCCTCTCACAGATAATGTTCGTGATGCATGGAAAGTTCTGTGGCTTTAAAATGGATGCCAGGTTTACAAAGTCTGTATATGTCAACAGATGTTAAGAATATAAACACAACTTTTATTATAAAGTCGTGCAAATGTGTAGACATGAACTTGGTTTATGTATATTATTTTCAGCATGAGGATGAAATGAAACTTCTGTGAAATGAGAGTTATTTGGATTCCTGAAGCTTTCAGGCTGAGATTAGCTTGGTTAAAAGCCATCAGAGCCAAGCTGCCTATTTAACAGCTGACAAGCTAATGACACTTCTGGCTTAGGGAATTACTTTGTGACATGGAACTTGAAACTGCTGATGCTGTTTGTTAGTCTGAAGATACATTTTCATGGAAATAGGCTTTGGAGATGCAGCTCTGGGAAAGGGGCTGGAAAGCAGCCTGAAGCTGTGGCTGGGAGCTCTGTGATTGCTCTGTGCTGTGGGCACCCATTGCACACTGCTGAGTCCTGCTGGGTGCACCTGGTTCTGCTGCCGTGGTGCATCCAGGGGGGCCGGGCTGAGGGCTGGGTTTGGTCCTTCAGCCCTGCCGTGCTCCTGTCTCCCATGACTTCCCCCAGCAACCTCTCTGCTGCTCCTTGGTTCCATGTCCCTTCCCCAGACCCACAGCGATGTCGCAGCACTGGGTTTGGCCTCGGGGCTGGGGAGGCAGTGTGCAGCATGGCGGCCTTCCTTTGGTCAAGGCAGAAAATGCCACTGGGAGATGGCAGGGGTGGGCATGCTTGGTGATGGCCAGGTTCAGTATTTACAGCTGTCCTCTTTGACAGGGTAAGCTTTTGGTTGTGTTGGGTTGGTTGTTTGCTTTTCAGATCTCACACAGGAAGTCTCCATAAGGCCTCTAATGTCATTTTGTAAAATGACAGGAAATCAAACGCTCTATGACTTCTCAATGCGTTTTCTGTTTTGGGGATACAGGACACAGGTGAGGGATGAGCCCAAGCGGGGGTGACAGCATGGAGGACGATGCGTGGGGGGAATGGAAGCACGTGTGTTTGACTGCACTGGGGGAGGCTTCTTGTATAAGAACTTGCAGAAAATCTAGAGCTGCTCTGTAAGTGCATCTCCTCGTTTTGCTTGCCTGCTGCTACCTGTGCCACAGAGTTGCTGCTGCTCCCAGGACATTGCTCTGTCCTCCACGCAGATCAAAGATCGGAACGTTTGCTTTTAGGCAGTGGGTTTCATTGCCTCTTTATGGACATAATCTTTTGGCTGTTTGTCTGAAATACGTCCACGCCTTCTGCGTATTGAAAGCATAATAGCCTTTAACCTACAATCTGCAGAGCTAAAATGAGTTTTATGTAAAATATTCGGTTGTGGGCCACATCTCCAGCTTTTTATGTGCCACAGTGGTCTTGTTTTTTGGGGGCTTTTTTTTTTCCCTTCTCCATTGTCTGATAGTGAGGTCATTTTCAGTCCTCTGAGAAATGTTATTCCCAGCCAGATGCGGGCCATATATTAAAAGTAGCACCTGTGGCTAATATCACAGCAGCTTACCATAAATTTACATGGTAACTAGGATTATATCTGTCAAGACTGTTAAAAAACGTCTAGATTTAATTTGATTTCCAGTATTGAAGGAGCTCTCCGACATTTTGCTTCATAACTGTATTTTAAAAGTTAAAATCACTCCATTGTTAAGTTTTATAGCACTCCCAGTGCCCATTAAGTTGATTTGTTAAATGGAGGTCAGAATAAAGCAGGTTGGCTGCATTAGGATCGGAAACCAACCCATTTGCCACAAATTCAGCCCTTGCGTGTGAATCTTCCCTCAGCCTGGGCACTGATTGGTTTCAGGTGCTTAGCCTGGAGGATGGAGCAGCCCCAGCCCCTCCTTGGCAGCTCTGGGAATCAAAAGACGAGCCCCTTTTCATTTGTTTGGGTGGAATTTGCTGCTTTTAGTGTCGCATTTGTCCGCTCGCCCCCTCTGCCAGGGCTTTGAGCAAGGCTGCCTGTTGAATGAAAAGACTTGATGGGTTTTTTTATCCATCTCGGTAGGTGCTGTTTTTCATATACTCCTTCCTAAACCGCTTCATTTTCCATTATCCTTTGAGTCCTCTCCCATATGCCATGATTTGTGCACCTGCAGAGTTATGAAAGTATTTCTTTTGGTAGTTATGTTGTTCACTAACTTCCTTACGTTTATGAATACAATAACTGATTTGCAATAAATCAGGATTATTTACAAGGGACTTTACGGAGTTGAGAAAATCTTTGTATCTGAAAATAATGAATTTTTGGCTTATCTGCCTGCTGACGTTTTCCTTTATTAGAAACTGATAGTGACATTCTTGGGACTGGCAGAGGTTAACTTTGGGCTAAAACAGTGTGAGTGAGGTGGTGTGAGTGTCGGAACAGGGTGAAGTAAGCATGTGTTATTGCAATAACTCAGCTTCCTGGGCTTTGTGCTCCTCACTGACATGGTGGATAGCACCTGTGCCTTGGGATGGTGGGTCAGGGTCCAGCTGGGGGTTTGGGACCCCATCTGTCCATCCACTCCTCCATTTCTCCATCCATCCACTCCTTTAACAGCTCACTTGGCAGTTGGATCGTTTGCAATCTTAACATCCTCCATCCCTGGCGTTAGAGGTGATGATGCTCTGCTCAGCACATCCTGCTTCCAGTAACCTTTCCACCTACCCTGCAGTGAGTATTTTTTTCTCTTGATGAGCAATACTGCAAAGCAGGTGGAAATATGCCACTGGGTTGCATGTAGGCAGAAATGAAATCCTCAGTGCTGGAAGCTGGGAAGTCCTGCGTTTCTTTTCATATGGCTAGCAGGGTACAAAAACATATGTGCTGTCAGTCGGTGCTCTGGGATGTTTTCAGACTCATGTTTTGCACTTGGAGACATTTTTTCTGTGTTGAATGGAGTTGCCTTAGTGCATCACCCGCCCCTTATGTCTTTGAAAGTCCTTCCCAGTTCAGCCTTTCTCTCCACGCCTGGGTAACCTGTGTTGCTGTAGAACCTCCTGCGTGTTAGCCCTGCTGGCAGCTGTGTGTTGCTACCTGATGCCGTCCCCTGCCCATAGGAGCAAACTGCAGTTAGGGATGCTCCTGTTCTGGATGAGCTAAGTTGTGGCTCCAGAACACGAACCCTTGGTTTGCTGTCTGGAATTGTTGCGTTTCCCATCACTGCATGTGCCGTGCTGAGCAGACCTGTTGTGTCTCAATGCTGACATCTGCCCAGCCGACCTTCAGGCTGCTCTCCAGCTGCCTCCAGTACAAGCACTTCCTTTGAAAAGATGGATTCATTACTGCTTTAAAAGGACTCATTACACCATTGTTTCAGGCATTAAGCTGAAAGCGCAAAAAGAAATAATTTGTCAAAACACCGTTTGGGTTTCCTAAGCTGTCCTGCACCTTGGGAACAGAAGAAATGCTTCTCCCTTTCTTTCAGCAGTTGTGGTGTGTGCCACGATTGCTCACGCTGCGTGGATTAAGGGCACAAACGTTGCACCAACCGCAGCTGCACCCAAAGGCAGCAAATGTGAGCAGGTTGTGTTTGTTCCCTGCAGCCTTCCCTGGGTCCGACTGCGCGCCTCTGTGAGGGGAAGCAAAGCGGGCTGGTGCTGCCTCTTCCAAAGATGTCAGCCAGAATATTGGGTTACTTTCAGTGAACGAATCCTCGTGTCTTGTAATTCCTCATGCATTAGGATTTATTTTTATGGGGGTGCTGGA